AACAAATCTTAAAATATAGCAAAAACACAAGAGTTGATTGCTGTTTGCTACTGACTCTTTGTGCACAATTGTGGTTTGCTCCTCAAACCTGATTTTTTCCTTCTCTGTGAGACGGTTTCCTGATCAACAAGAAACTGTGTTTTGGTATTTCATGTGGCTGGGTATAGTCAGGTGAGTAAGTTCTCCCCAGTGAGTTGTGAGCAGTGCCAAGAGGGTCAGAGGACTTGGACTGTTGATGATGTAAGTGGGCTGGTGGTCCAGTTAATCTTGCAGTGGTCTTGGTCTCCTTGCTGTTTAATATGCAAATACATCAACAAATTGATGGAAAATGGAATTTTAAAACATTGTGCAAAAATTTTAAATCAATGCGTATGAGGGTTCTTCACAAAGTTCATAGAAGTTGCAAATGATGAAAAAGTTGCATGGATTTCATAATTTTTTCTTTTTTGCATCAACATAAACTTTTAATCTCAATTTTCTACATGCTTCTCCAAGTACCTTTGTATGTATTTGCAGGATTGAAGCCATTAGTCACCAGTTGCTTGCAGCTGAAAGCATGCAATTAAATACTGAGGCCACATAGTTCATCTATGGGGGTCTTGTCAGGATTTTCCTGGAGTAACCATGACTGATTTACACACAGTTCCCCAGAACTATTGGCAAGTGTTTTAAATTTGGCCTGTCTCCTTGCTGCTTCTATTTAAGCATATGTTTTATTGTTTTGTCAGTGGAGAAAAACTCTGGGTGATGTATTGACTGTTACTTGGCAAATCTTCCCAGCCATTTCTATTCCAGTGTTAATTAATCTCTAGAACTTTAAGATGTTCTTGATCCCATTTTATAATGCTTTAAATCTAAAACAGCGAACTCTATTGCAGTCTAATTGATTTTTTTCCCCTGAATTATCTTACACTTTCTAATGTCTATGCTTCAAAAACTTGAGTAAATTATGGTCTTCAATGACTTCTAAGTGCCAGACTGGCCCTCGGTAAGAAAAGGGCCTTCCAACTTCGACCTGCTACCCAGTGCCATGTGTTTTAGGTTTGTGTAATTTCTGGACACCAAATTCTGTTATGGGTGTCTGTTTCTGAGTAACAAACCATATAGAACTGTGACATAAAACAACCTCTTGTTTGGCTCACAAGGCAGTAATGTAACCACAGTTTGGAGGCTGGCTCATTTAACTCACGTCTGTTCCAACTGGTGACAGGTGAGTTACCTCAGCTTTCGAGGAAACTCACCTTTGACACTGATGCTCATTGTTGCCTAGGAGCTCAGCCAGTGATGATGACTGGGGGCGTGGTTCCTTTGTGGCTGCTCCATGGAGCTACTTGAGTTATTACAGAAGAGTGGCTGGATGCCTAACGCCAGAGACCTTGGAGGAAGCAGCAGGAACTGTGGGTTTCTTCAGCATAATTCCACTTCTGTATGCAGCTGTTCAGGAGGTCATAGGGTCTGCTTAATTGACAAAGACATAGCAGGAGTAGCAAATAATTGGCAGCTACCTTTACCAAAAAGATGTTCTTATTCAAATTTTAAAAACAAGTAAATGGAAACAGATGGTGTTTTCTCAAGGTTACACAGCTTGTAAGTGGCAGATCTAAAAACTTAATCCAGGCAGCCCTGTTCCAGAGTCTCTGTTCCTTCCAAGCACATCTTTAGGAAATTTCACAAAAGGAAGCTTTTTACAATTGATGACTTTGGCTTGAGTCTGAGCACTAAGAGGGAACCAGTTCTTCCTCTCTCTCTGTCTCTCCCTTTTTTTAAGAAGCACTCAAACAGATCAGTGAAGACTCACTTTTAGTCTAGAATAGTGATATGAACTTGAACAGACTTTAAATTTTTAGGCAAATCTTAAATTACCATTTTTAGTTGGCTTGAACTTCATCTCACCTCTTGATATGGGGGGATTAACTTTCTATATCATCCACTGTAAGTATGATCTGTTCTTATCACTTTAATGGTTCCTTAAGCATTGTTCAGTTTTTCTTGGATAAAAATATTCAGTCACTAAAATAGTCTCTTTTCTTCGTAAAGTTGGCCTCAGGGTACATGGGCATGCGAAGTCTGTTTTTGAGGTCTCCCAAGAGTAGTGCAAATGCCTCCTCAGTATTTTGAACACTGACAGAAGAACTGTTCATCACACAGCTTGTACTCTTTGCTGCCTCTGCCCCACTCTGGTTTGGCATAACATGTCTTCTTCCTTCCCGTCCTCCCTCTCTGTGGTTGAGAGGCAGGGACAGTGCTGCAATCTGAGAGTTCATCCCCCAAATGCTTGCCATGGCCCAGGATGAGCCAGGGACCAAGTTACCCAAACCATCGCTGCTGCCTCTCAAAGTCTGCATCTGTGGGAGGCTGGAGTCAGGATCCAGAGTTAAGAACTGAATCCAGACATTCAGTGTGAGATGTGAGTGCCTTAACTGCTAGACCAATGCTGTGTCACAGGTGATAGTGCACGCATGAATCCTGCCAGCCTCCAGGGCCTAGCCTCGTAACTGCTCAACTCTGCAGCTAAGAACTAAGGATGTTGGCAGGCGCTGCAGCTCAACAGGCTAATACTCTGCCTGTGGCGCCGGCACCCCGGGTTCTAGTCCCAGTTGGGGCGCTGGATTCTGTCCTGGTTGCTCCTCTTCCAGTCCAGCTCTCTGCTGTGGCCGGGGCGGGGGGGGGCAGTGGAGGATGGCCCAAGTCCTTGGGCCCTGCACCCGCATGGGAGACCAGGAGAAGCAGCTGGCTCCTGGCTTCAGATTGGTGCACTGGCCGCGGCGGTCATTAGGGGATGAACCAACGGAAAAGGAAGACCTTTCTCTCTGTCTCTCTCACTGTCCACTCTGCCTGTCAAAAAAAAAAAAAAAAAAGAATTAAGGATGCCCACTTGCCCAATTCACCCTTATAATGCTTGGAAGGTTGTTTCATAGCTGTGCAAAACCTACCAGAGGTTCTGAAATAACGCCATAAAACCATGAAATGAACCAATTAGTGTCTAAAGCGGGGGGCAGGGTTGTTTCACTTGCAGATGGTTTGGGGTCTGGGATGGGGTGAAGAGCTGAAGTCTTACTTTCTCATTCTACTTGCTCCTGAGTTGGTGAGTTGGGCAAGTGGGCATCCTTAGTTCTTAGCTGCATAGTTGAGCAGTTAAGAGGCTAGGCCCTGGGGGCTGACAGGATTCCTGTGTGCACTGTCACCTGTGACGCAGCATTGTCCTTTAGTTGGTGGGTTGGGCATGTGCTCCTCTGGAGCGGAGTGGTTGGGCTCCTTCAGAAAGAATAAAAGAAGAAAATAAAAGGACTGATTAAGTCACAGTAAGAGGTTTTAGAAAGAGGTTTAAGTATAAATAATTGTTTACAAATCGATCGAGTAATGGGGAAATGAAAAGCAAATGATGTAATTAAAGTTTTAAAATCGGGAAATGACAAGCAACAGTACCAAGTTGCAATGTTAAAGGCCGAACGTTTTACCATTCAAAGGCTAGAAATCCTACACTGATAAAAGTAAACACTACAATACAGCTGTAAAATATACTCTAAGTTTATTCAGGATTCTTCTTTATCCTAATAGGTATCCAATTGACTCTGCTAAATCTAATTTTTCCTCGCTGACTTAGACTAATGCCTTTATTATATACTAGATGTATCTGGATTTATATTTGGATTCTGTTCTATTCCATTTTGTAAAAATAATTATACACACAATTGTTTGGCTCAACAAGTGTCCCTATTGTAAACTTCTCCTGTAAACACAAGGCAATGAAACAAACATTACCAACACCATAGAAGATTTTTGTTGGTAAGTATTGACTTATATTATTAACTGAATGAAGGAGGCATTTTGGATTTTTGAGCCACTCTGGCACCTCTGGAATTATGAATATATTGAATGAAGGCACAAATGTTTTCTAAAGCCACAAAGGGCACAAATATGGAACAAAATAATAGACCAGATTAAAGAATTCACCAGAATTTCTCAGAAATCAGACTATAAAGTGAAACTGAAATCATCTGATAGACAAAAGTACAAGATTATCTGCCAGTGAAAAATTATGAATTCTGTAAGTGTAGTACAAAGATCATTTACAGTTTTTCATGGGAATATAACACTTCAGAAATTTTCATTGTTTTAAAGGATGCTCTACCAAGAAGTATGGATATCATCTAAGTGTGTTCTTACTGGTAGTGGTGATCATAAAAAGGGGGACTTTGAGATCAGCTAGCATATTGGTTTTTTTTTTTTTTTTTTTTGACAGGCAGAGTGGGCAGTGAGAGAGAGAGACAAAGAGAAAGGTCTTCCTTCCGTTGGTTCACCCCCCAATGGCCGCTGCGGCTGGCGCACTGCACTGATCTGGAGCCAGGAACCAAGCTTCTCCTGGTCTCCCATGTGGGTGCAGGGCCCAAAGACTTGGGCCATCGTCCACTGCCTTCCTGGGCCACAACAGAGAGCTGGACTGGAAAAGGAGCAACTGGGACAGAATCCGGCACCCCGACTGGGACTAGAACCCAGTGTGCCAGCACCACAGGCAGAGGATTAGCCTAATGAACTGCAGCGCCGGCCCATATTGTTTTTTTTTTTATTTAATGAGCATAAATTTCCAAAGTAAAGCTTATGGATTACAATAGCTTCCTCCCCCCTGTAACTTCCCTCCCACCCACAACGCTCCCCTTTCCCACTCCCTCTCCCCTTCCCCTTCACATCAAGATTAATTTTCAATTATCTTTATATACAGAAGATCAATTTAGCGTATATTAAGTAAAGATTTCCACATTTTGCTCCCACACAGAAACACAAAGTGTAAAATGCTATTTGAGTACTAGTTATAGCATTAATTAAACACCTAAGAGTAATTGTGTATTAATTACAGAGTTCAACCAATAGTTTTAAGTAGAATATAAAATGCAACTTTTGTATTGTTGTGGCTTCCCACTCAACCTCTCTCCCTCCCGTGACCCTCCCCTCACCCACTCCTTCTCCTATCCCACCCTTCATCACGTTTCATTTTCAATTACCTTCATATACTGAAGATCCACTTAGTATAATCTAAGCAGGGATTTCAACAGGCTACACTCACACAACCAAACCAGGTCTAGGGTATTGTTCGACTAGTAGTGTTGTTTTTGAGTTTCATAGTTAAACACATTAAGGACAGAGATCCTTAATCTGGGAGCATGAACCCAGTGACTCCTGTTGTTGACTTAACAATTGGCACTCTTATTTATGATGTCAGCAATCACCTGAGACTCTTGCTATGAGCTGTCTAGGCTATGGAAGCCCCTTGAGTTCACCAACTCTGAATTTGTTTAGTCAAGGCCGTATCACAGTGGAGGTTCCTTCCTCCCTTCAGAGAAAGGCGCCTCTCTCCTTGATGGCCTGATCCTTCTGCTGGGGTCTTGTTCACCAGGATCTTTCATTTAGATTGTTTTTTGCCACAATGTCATGGCTTTCCATGCCTGTGAGACTCTCATGGACCTTTTAGTCAGATCCGAATGTCCCAAGGGTTGATTCTGAGGCGGGAGTGCTATTTTGGGCATTTGCCATTCTATGAGTCTGCTGTGTGTCCTGCTTCCCCCGCAGGATCATTCTCTCCCTTTTGATTCTATCCTTCATCATTTGCTTACACTGGTCTTATTTGTGTAACCTCTTCGACACTTACCCTATCTTTTTGATCAGTTGTGTATTTATACTTATCACTTTACCAAGTGTGCTGGCATTGGTACCTGCCTCCTTGGTAAGGTTGAGTTGAAATCCCCTGGCACATTTCTAGTTCCACCATTGGAGGTAGGTCTGAGTGAGTATGTGCCGTCCTATATATCTCCTTCCTCTCTTATTCCTACTCCTATGTTTCACAGAGATCAATTTTCTGTTAATTTTTAAACGCTTAAGAATGGTTGTGCATTGATTGCAGAGTTCAACCAGTGGTCTTGTGTAGAGCAAACCGGGCAACAACAACAACAACAACGAAAATACTAAAGGAACAAAATAGTAAGTTGTTCCTCAACAGTCTAGACAAGGGCTGCTCATGTCATTGTCTCTCATAGTGTCCATTTCACTTCAATGGGTATCATTTTAGGTGCTCGTTTAGTTGCCATCGATCAGGGAGAACATGTGATATTTGTCCCTTTTGGACTGGCTTATTTCACTCAGCATTATGTTTTCCAGCTTCCTCCATTTTGTTGTAAATGCCTGGATTTCATTGTTTTTTACTGCTGTATAGTGTTCCATAGAGTACATATCCCATAGTTTCTTTATCCAGTCATCCGTTGATGGAAATTTGGGTTGATTCCATGTCTTAGCTATTGTGAATTGAGCTGCAAAAAATATTGAGGTGCAAATGGCTTTTTTCTCCCCTTTAATTCCATTTGGGTAAATTCCAAGGAGTGGGATGTCTGGGTCCTGTGGTAGTGCTATATTCAGGTTTCTGAGGATTCTCCAGACTGTCTTCCATAGTGGCTTTACAAATTTGCATTCCCACCAACAGTGGATTAGTGTCCCTTTTTCTCCACATCCTCGCCAGCATCTGTTGTTGGTTGATTTCTGTATGTAAGCCAATCTAACCAGAGTGAGGTGGAATCTCATTGTGGTTTTGATCTGCATTTCCCTGATGGCTAGGGATCCTGAGCATTTTTTCATGTGTCTGTTGGCCATTTGGATTTCCTCTTTTGAAAAATGTCTGTTAAGGTCCTTGGCCCATTTTTTTATTGGGTTGTTTGTTTTGATTCTGTGGTGTTTTTTGATCATTGTGTAGATTCTAGTTGTTAATCCTTTATCTGTTGTGTGGTTTGCGAATAACGTCTCCCATTCTGTTGGTTGCCTCTTTGCTTTCCTGACTGTTTCCTTTGCTGTTAAGAAACTCTTCAATTTGAGGTAATCCCATTTGTTTATTTTATCTTTGATTACCCATGCCTGTGGGGTCTTCTCCAGGAATTCTTTGCCTATTCCGATATCTTGAAGGGTTTCCCCTATGCTCTCAATTAGTTTCATGGTGTCGTGGCGCATCTCTAGTTCTTTGATCCATGTTGAGTGGATTTTTGTATAAGGTGTAAGGTAGGGGTCTTGCTTCCTACTGCGACATGTGGACATCCAGTTTTCCCAGCACCATTTGTTGAAGAGGCTGTCCTTGTTCCAGGGGTTGGTTTTAGGTCCTTTGTCGAATATGAGTTGGTTATAGATGTTTGGATTGATCTCCGGTGTTTCTATTCTGTTCCATTGGTCTATCCATCTGTTTCTGTACCAGTACCATGCTGTTCTGATTACAACTGCCCTGTAGTATGTCCTGAAATCTGGTATTGTGATGCCTCCAGCTTTGTTTTTGTTGTACAAGATTGCTTTAGCTATTCGAGGTCTCTTGTGCCTCCATATGAATTTCAACATCATTTTTTCTAGATCTGAGAAGAATGTCTTTGGTATCTTGATTGGGATTGCATTGAATCTATAAATTGCTTTTGGGAGAATGGACATTTTGATGATGTTGATTCTTCCAATCCATGAGCATGGAAGATTTTTCCATTTTTTGGTATCCTCTTCTATTTCTTTCTTTAAGATTTTGTAATTCTCATCGTAGAGATCTTTAACGTCCTTGGTTAAGTTTATTCCAAGGTATTTGATTGTTTTTGTAGCTATTGTGAATGGGATAGATCTTAGCAGTTCTTTCTCAGCCTTGGCATTGCTTGTGTATACAAAGGCTGTTGATTTTTGTGCATTGATTTTATATCCTGCCACTTTGCCAAACTCTTCTATGAGTTCCAATAGTCTCTTAGTAGAGTTCTCTGGATCCTCTAAGTAAAGAATCATATTGTCTGCAAAGAGGGATAGTTTGACTTCTTCCTTCTCAATTTGTATTCCTTTAATTTCTTTTTCTTGTCTGATGGCTCTGGCTAAAACTTCCAGAACTATGTTGAATAGCAGTGGTGAGAGTGGGCATCCCTGTCTGGTACCAGATCTCAGTGGAAATGCTTCCAACTTTTCCCCATTCAATAGGATGCTGGCCGTGAGTTTTTCATAAATTGCTTTGATTATATTGAGGAATGTTCCTTCCATACCCAATTTGCATAGAGTTTTCATCATGAAAAGCTGTTGTATTTTATCAAATGCTTTCTCTGCATCTATTGAGATAATCATATGGTTTTTCTTCTGCAGCCTGTTAATGTGGTGAATCACATTGATTGATTTGTGAATGTTGAACCATCCCTGCATACCAGGGATAAATCCCACTTGGTCTGGGTGGATGATTTTTCTGATGTGTTGTTTATTGAATAGACTGTCTTTGCTCCAGGAATTGGTTTTAGATCCTTGATCAAATATAAGTTGGCTGTAGATGTTTGGATTGATCTCCGGTGTTTCTATTCTGTTCCATTGGTCTATCCATCTGTTTCTGTACCAGTACCATGCTGTTCTGATTACAACTGCCCTGTAGTATGTCCTGAAGTCTGGTATTGTGATGCCTCTAGCCTTGTTTTTATTGTAAAGGATTGCTTTAACTATTCTGGGTCTCCTGCTTCTCCATATGAATTTCAGCATCGTTTTTTCTAGTTCTTTGAAGAATGACTTTGGTATTTTGATTGGTATTGCATTGAACTTGTAAATTGCTTTTGGGAGAATGGACATTTTGATGATGTTGATTCTTCCAATCCATGAGCATGGCAGGTTTTTCCATTTTTTTTGTGTCGTCTTCTATTTCTTTCTTTAGTGTTTTGTAATTTTCATCATAGAGGTCTTTGACCTCCTTGGTTAAATTTATTCCAAGGTGCTTTATTGTTTTTGTGGCTATCGTGAATGGGATTGATCTTAGAAGTTCTTCCTCGGCCCTGGCATTGTCTGTGTATACAAAGGCTGTTGATTTCTGAGCATTGACTTTGTATCCTGCTACTTTACCAAACTCTTCTATGAGTTCCAGTAGTCTCTTATAGGAGTTTATTGGGTCCTCTATATATAGTATCATGTCATCTGCATGACATGACATAAACTAGGGATAGTTTAACTTCCTCCTTTCCCATTTGTATCCCTTTAATTTCTTTTTCTTGCCTGATGTCCCTGGCTAACACTTCTAGGACTATATTGAATAGCAATGGTGAGAGTGGGCATCCCTGTCTGGTGCCAGTTTTCAATGGAAATGCCTCCAACTTTTCCCCATTCAATATGATGCTGGCCTTTGGTTTATCATAGACTGACTTAATTGTGTTGAGGAATGTTCCTTCTAACCCCAATTTGCTCAGGGTTTTCATCATGAAAGGGTGTTGTATTTTGTCAAATGCTTTCTCTGCATCTGTTGAGATAGCCATATGATTTTTGTTTCTCAATTTATTAATGTGATGTATTACATTGATTGACTTTCAAATATTGAACCATCCCTGCATACCAGGGATAAATCCCACTTGGTCCGGGTGAATGATCTTTCTGATGTGTAGTTGGATTCGGTTTGCCAGAATTTTGTTGAGTATTTTTGCATCTATGTTCATCAGGGAGATAGGTCTGTAGTTTTCTTTCTCTGTTGTGTCTTTTCCGGGCTTAGGAATTAAGGTGATATTGGCTTCATAGAAAGAATTTGGGAGGATTCCCTCTCTTTCAACAGTTTTGAATAACTTGAGAACGGGGGTTAGTTGCTCTTTAAATGTCTGGTAAAATTCGGCGGTGAAGCCATCCAGTCCTGGGCTTTTCTTTTTTGGTAGTGCATTTATTACTGATTCAATTTCTTCCATGGTTATGGGTCTGTTTAGATTTTCTCTATCTTCATGGCTCAGTTTAGGAAGGTTGTATTTGTCCAGGAATTTATCCATTTCTTCCAGGTTCCCCATTTTGTTAGTATACATCTCTTTGTAGTAGTTTCTGATGATTCTTTTTATTTCTGTTGTGTCTGTTGTTACATTTCCATTACTATCTTTGATTTTACAGATTTGCGTCTTTTCTCTCCTTTTTTTTGGTTAGTTGGGCCAATGGTGTGTCGATTTTGTTTATTTTTTCAAAGAACCAGCTCCTGGTTTTGTTGATCTTTTGTATTGTTTTTTTTTTGGTTTCAATTCTGTTTATTTCTTCTCTGATCTTTAGTATTTCTTTCCTCCTTTTGGATTTGGGCTTGATTTGCTGCTGTTTTTCTAAATCCTTGAGGTGCATGGAGAGTTCATTTGTTTGGTTCCTTTCCAGCTTCTTGATGTAGGCACTAATTGCTATAAACTTTCCTC